GTGAGAGATGGTATTTGTTGTCAAACGTAAAGATTTTTTTGTATTTTTTTTTTTAGACAAGCAATTTGTTTTAGGTGCATGCATTCATCATAGCAGAATTACGCAAACAGATGCCTTCAATGATTGGTAAGGAGAAAAAAAAGAAAGAGCTTATTCAAAATCTTGATAAAATATTCGAACAGTTGCAGGTATGTTCGTTTACTGAATGTCTAATGATATTATGCTCGTTCTGATCTGTGCACTGCTAATAATTTCTTTTTCTCCTTTTTCTGTTTAATCATTTTATGTATTAATTTCCAGTTTTTAAATTTAATTTCGATTTCATACATGTTAAGCCAAAATTTCTTTTCTTATGGTTATACTTTGACACTATAAGTCTTTTTTAAATATAAAATGATGTGGTTTCTTTCCTTGTTTTAGCGTGAACATAATATTTCGGCTGGCGACTTTCCGGATATTAACAAAATGCGTGAACATTTACCGGATTATGATTTCACCAAATTCAATCCAATTAAGCCAAAATTATTGGATGTTGTTGATGGAATGCTTGCTTCTGATATTGGTATACAATTTGCTACATTAAAAAAAAAAATACTTTTTTGAGCAATTTTCATTGCTACCGATTGATAAATTATTTCTCAAAACTACTGAACCTTATTTAACTCTTCAGTACATCATGTCTATTCAGATAAGCATCCAAACAACAAATTGAAAATTATTCCGTACATTCTTCATTAAATCATTAAGTAAAACGATTCTTTTGGATTCTATTCTTTTATAAGCGTTTTATAATTGTGAAAAATTTCCAGCTCGATTGATGGCTCAAATTCCAAAAGAAGAGAATACTCCAATTACAAACGGTTTGCTTCAACCTCATCAGGCAGAGGTTGATTTTGTTTTGCTTTAATTTTTTTTTTTTATTTAATAACAGTCCATGTTAAGTTATAAGGTGTTATAAGTTGCTGATATGTGCATGTTGATCATTTCTTTATTTAGGTTCATGGTGGCGCTTTTGATCAAGCTGTTGAATCAGAAACTCCCTTTGGTTTTGGTAAAGGCGAAGGTTTTGATAAGGGTGCTAATGAATCGGGTTGGGTAGTAGCTCGAGAAAGATACAAGGCAGATGAAATGTTTGATAGTTTGGATCCTATAGATGGCAAAATAACAGGTGAATTTTTATTTTTCCATTTTTTATTTTGTTTTTTTTTGATCTGAAAGCAATGAATACTCAAAGCATGCGAAAAACTAAACAGTCGTTAATTACTACATGTATATCGTGAAATACTAATTGCTTCGTGCAACAATTTCATTATTTTATTTCAATAGTAGGATTTATCAATAGATGGGAAAAATGTATTATGTTAAGGTCGAGCAGCAAAGGAACATATGGTCAAATCGAAATTGCCAAATGCTGTTTTGGGTAAAATATGGAAGCTGTCGGATGTTGACAAAGATGGAATGTTGGATAGTGATGAATTTGCTCTTGCTAATTATTTAATCAATTTGAAACTTGAAGGTTAGCATTTTAAGATTTGATTATGGCTAAAATTACGTTTTTTTTTTTTCTTTTTTTTGAGAAGAGCACATGCTGGTAATGCTGTCTTTATGATTGGTGAAAATTTGAAATGATAATATTGATAAATAACTTATGATTAACAATCGAGAAATTGATGTGAAGAGAGCAAACAGAAATAACAAGACTATTTCAAGTAATTCACGTATTAATTTTTAGGGCATGAATTACCACTCGAACTGCCGAAACATTTGATTCCACCATCGAAGCGTGATGAAGATCCCATCTATCCTACATTAGATTCCTGAACGAATTTATGGTAGTAGTGAACTGGGAAATTTTGAACCAAATTTTTTGGTCTCGTGCAACCATTCACTTTAAACAATGCTGTGTACAATTACTGAAAGTAAGAAATGTGTAATATATTTTGATTGACCTCACCAGAATCCATAGATTCTTCTGGATAACTAAATTTAGGACTCGTTTTCTGTTTCGAATAATTTGAATGTCTAATTTCGGAACCATTATACATTTGAGACTTTTAAGCTGTTTACATCCTAAAACATATTTGCAATACTACAGTACGTTCTCTTTAACATGAAATTAGGAATTATCCTATTTGAACTCTTGATGGACTGTGTGAAATTCATAAATGAAGATTCAAAATGAAGGATAGATATTAATTTAATTGGACGAGGTGAGCGTGACTTCTTTTTTCTTCATCATTTATGAATTTGTGGGATATATTGTTTGGGTCTTATTGCCTTCCTCTTTTTTTTTTTTTTTTTTTGTCTTGAAATATCAGTTTTTAATTTCTGTTTGTTTGTAGAAAATTCATTTATAACAGCATATTATTGTATTTTCTGATTGATTTTACTGAATGGAACAAAAGTAAGAGTGTGAATCAGCTCCAAAAAGAAAAAAAAAATGTTTTTGATTTGTACGGGTCATGCAGGATATGAGCATGAAATAGTGTACATTTTAAGCTTTTGAAAAAGATGAAATTTCTTTGGACGAAACAAATTTTAATAATAATAGAGTCAAAATTTACTTTCCCAGAAAAGCATATTTATTTCATACTTAATTCCAAATTAGTAATAACTGGATTCCCAAATAAAATCTTTTTTTTGTTCGAGGTGAATATTTTAGGCTAGCATTGTATATGTTCACCTTGTTATGTATTCTCTTTAGTAGAACTATTCCCTATCTTATTAATTCTTCCCAAATACATTATTTATTATCAACAATGAATTTTCATTGATGGCACAATGTATCTTTTGAATATTAATGAACTCGAGTTAACAGTAGTAGGTAGATGGATAAAAAGATTGCTTGATTAACTAACTTATTAGCTGCATTCTTAATGATAAGAAATTGTATAATTCATGTTTTTTTTTTTTTGGAAACTTTGCAGAATTTACCGTTTTCTAGTCCACTATATTTGTTTCCTTCTGTTCGTTCAAACAGCACTTTAATTTAACTTTTTTGATTAATAACTTTCCTTTCCTTTTTTTCTTATCAAATTTTCATTTACAATCAGTGAAATAATTTATGTGTAATAAGCAAAATATGTGATATATAAACAAATTGATTCGTTATTGCATTTGATTCCATACATCAACAACACAATGAATTACATCGAAATTCAGTATTTTAATCTAGAAATAAATGAGAACAAAAATAAGTGTAGCAATATTTCACGTAAGTAAAATAATTGAAACTGATGTATACTTTAACAGATACACATGAAAGTTTATTTAGTATTTAAGTTATAAATAATTCTCATAATTTTTTTTTTTCTTTTCCTACTTTTATCAATTTTTTGTAAAAAATTTTGAGAAGAAAAATGAAAAGACAAAAATGCGAAATATTCTTACTAGAAGAAAAATTTGTAGAGAAAAGTTTATGTATGCTTATGTATTAAATGAAAATTGCAAAAGAATAAAAATAATGATGAGTAATTTTTACATTTGAAGTTGAATTTTTCTATTCTTATCGTTTAGTAAAAGCAAAAGAGAAAATACTTTGATAAAACATGTATCATACAGTTTTATTTGCATCAAACTTAGATTTTTCTTTTTAAAATTTTTTTTTTAATTCTTATAATTCAATGATAAATTATTTCATCGATAAAAGAAAAAAAGAAAAATGAAGGAAGCAATATGCATTCGTTAAAATATCAAAATAAAAATTTAAAAAAAAAAAAAGCGAAATAAAAATGCGTGGATAATTTAACTTGTAGAAATGTTTGTTGAAATTTTTATCAATTTTATTTTTAAAATAAGTTACAAAAATAGAAAAAGAGAAACAGATGAAAAAATTTTATTGAAATGAAAAGATAAAAATTTATTCTTTTCAGTTTCTGAAAAGAATAAATTTTTCAATTTCTGAAAGATAATAATTTCAGTTTCTGAAATTATTGATTTGTTAAAATTGTCCAAAACTGTAACGATTGGAGCAAATTGCAGGTGTGCAAAGGTATGGAAACAGGAAATGAAATGAATGTTTATTGTTACGATCGATTGATTTCATCTTTCGCACAAAATTTCCGCATTTCTAAATTTCATCTAATCATTATTCAATTATTAAACTTATAACAATTTCATATTATTATTATTATTATTATTATTATTATTATTATTATTATTATTATTACTACTATCATTGTTTATTATTGTTTATCATTATCATTGTTACTGTTATCATTTGGACAAAGATAATAGCATAATTTGACAATATTTTAATTAACTGAATTAATTAAATTACAAAAATTTTGAATTAAAGTTTTCATTTAGCACTTTATAATTAATAATTGTTATATGAAATCAAAACGATGGTATAATTTGAAAGAAAACAAATTGTTTACATATGCATTTCTAATAGATTTATCCTTTTGTTTTAATTTCTTTTTTCTTTCTGTTTTCTTCGCACAATATTTTTCATTTAAGCTTTAAGTTAGCATTATTTGTTTGCTTATTTTTTCTTTTTAATTTTTATTTTATTTTATTTTCATATGCTATAAAATTGATTGTTTGTGAATTAAATTGAATTTTCGTTCAAATATTTCAAAATTGAGGAAGAAAAATGTTATTTTCTTCTATTTTTTTTTCCTCTAAAATATTTAAACTTCGTATTTTGAAACTTTTGAATTATATTTGATTGCAATTTTTATGAAATAAAAAGAAAAATTATTTTGAGTCATTGCTTGTTATGAAATAAATGCTTTTTGCTAAGTTATACTGTAAAATATTTGTTATTTTTTTTTTTTTTTTAAAAAAGAATTTATTATGCAATAACAATTAACAAAATAAAAGACATAAATTATAGCTTTGAAATTTTCATAATTAATTTAACATAGACTACCATATATATGTATAAAATTCCATGAAAATTTCAAATATATTTCATTGAAATTTCTTTCTTTTTTTTTCAGTTAAAATATTTTTAAAAAAATGGTTGTTGACAATCTTTCAGTGTACAATTTCGAATGTCAATTCAAGCATTATTAAATTCATTGAAAGTAATTAGTAAACGATATGGTGAAGATAATATCGATCGTTTACATTACTTTCTAACTGCAAATTTACTAGTAGCAGTAAGTACAATAACAGCTTGGAAAATGTTTGATGGTAAAGCAATCGAATGTATGCCACCGACAACTTTCCCTAATTCATGGGTTACGGTTAGTTTTAATGTTTTAGGAAAGTGAAATGAAATGAAATGAAATGAAATGAAATGAAATGAAATGAAATGAAATGAAATGAAATGATTTGTTTCAAATTACATTCATCTAATAATTTAGCATTTAATTTTAGTATTAAAAAGTGTACTGCACTGTTGCAATTTTTTTTTTTTCACAAAATATTCTTTAGCATATTAATTAATTAATTAATTAGTGGAAATTAATTTACTTATTTGAATTTCTATATATTTATTCAATATATTAACTTGAAATACAACTAATTTAGTTATATCAAATTAATTATTCAATTCAATTCTTAAATCTTTCATCATTATTGGAAATATTTGAAGACCATTATTTTATTATTATACTAATCAATGAAGCAAAAAAAAAAAAATTTTACCATTATTTAAATTGACATCCACGCACGTGACTCATCACGTGTTCTAAATTGACATTCACGCACGTGACTCATCACGTGTTCTACTGTGTTAATCCTGGTCCCTATTCAAAACACACAATTTTGTTATTATTATTATGATGGTAAAATCAATAAATTACTAACCTTATTACATTCCTAATGCTATAACAATACATTTTATATTAATGATTGACTCAATAATAATTGGCGCATTTGTCCAAAAATAGCTGAGATGCGCTGATGACGTATGTCTTCAAATATTACAAATATGGCCATTAGCAATTCAATCATTGCATTTTTATCTCAATCATATCATACATTCACTGCATGACTAATCAAATTTCTCGTGCTATTTAGGTACATTGGCATATTTCCGCCCGATTTATCGTACAGTTGCGCCTAGTTGATACTATCATTATTCTTCTTTATTCAATCATTGCCATATTTTATGTTTGCTAAATAAATTAAAATCATTTTATTCATATTAGCGGTATAATCCTTCTTCTTCTATAAAAGGTAAAAATGATTTGAAATAATACTGAAAAAGTAATTTTACTTTGTTCAATTTTTTCATTTTTTTTTTCTTCTATTTTTATTTCATAAAAATATTTTCAAATTACATTGTAAAAGGTTTTATACTTACTAAATCTTATAATATTTATCCAGATAGGATCATAAGATGAAATGAAAAAAAAAAAGAAAAAATATTTCTGATCAAATAACATTTCAAATTGTTAATATTTTGATATAGAATAGAATAGAATGGGAATAGAATAGGAATAAGACAGAATAGAATAGAATGGAATAGGAATAGAACAGAAATAGAATAGAATAGGAATAGAATAGAATAGAATAGAATAGAATAGAATAGAATAGAATAGAATAGAATAGAATAGAATAGAATAGAATAGAATAGAATAGAATAGAATAGAATAGAATAGAATAGAATAGGAATAGAATAGATTTCATTATACCATTTTTCTCTGTTTGCTTCAGTTATTGTTAAAACGAAGAATTAATTTATCGGTGGATGGTTTGAAGAGAGCTAAGAACGATCCGATATATGCAAGGAAGAGAAAATGTGTTATTCATTCTTTAAATTCACTCATCTCTCTTATTTACATCCTTTTTTTCTTTCCGTACAGTTTCATACCTGAATTCATGAAGATATATCATCTAATCCGGTTAGATTATTCCGCTACGACAATCTCAAATATTTTTATCAATTAATAATAATAATAATAAATGATTTTTTTTTTTCTTTCCATACAGTTTCATACCGGAATTCATGAAGATATATCATCAATTCTTGTCAAATATATCAAATTCTCACATTTCCATTTCCGATTACTCTACCGGTTGTTTAAAAAAAAAAAAAAAAAAAAGTTTTCTTTATCATTAAGATTTGTCTATTCTATCACTTAATACATATTTCAATTAAATCTCTTTAAAATCTTGAAGTTTTCACTTTGAAAAAAAAAAAATTCAATTTGATCATTAAACAAAAAAAAAAAAGGAAAAAAAAATGTTCCATCTTGACTATTTAAACAATTTATTTCGCTCATATTTTGATTTGCTATCTCTTTTTTTTTCCTCTTTATTGTTTTAATCTTTCCTTCTCTTTTTTTTTCTACTTTTAAAATACTTCCTGATGAGAAGCAATGTAAGCAAAACTACTTATACTTACGTTTATTGCTTTCTCTCAAACTACTTCAATCATCATTTTATGCTTCATCGAGAACGAACTATTCTACAGTTATTTTTCAATGAATGATATTTTATAATCAAATTTATCTAATTTCCTCTATTTCTTCAAAAGAAAATGAAAAAAGAAAAATTGTTGAATCGTTTTAACTTACAAATTTGATTTATATTGTTCTTTTTTTTTTTTTTCAAAATTTATATTATCACCTGATTAATGATAACGATGATGACGATGATGGGAGTGATAATGATAATGGTACTGATGATAAAAACGGTGATTGTGGCGATTATTGATGATCATGATAATATCGATAATGATGACAGTCCGTGAACAATTAAAATTATATCTGCAAATAACTAATTTTGTAACTTTTAAAAGCTTCGAATAGACATTATCAGTAGTTCACTTCTATTCACAATATGAAATAGATTATATACATATAAAAAACTGATTTTGCTAAATTTTTTTTTTTTTTTTTTTTTGAAATTATAAAAAAGGGTATAGAAGACAGATTCTACAGTATACATTGATAAGGCTACGGTATAGCTACCGTAATACCGTTTTTTATCTACTGGCTTCTTGAATTCTCGTACGATACGATATATATATCTCAAATAATTCAAATAATAAATGAATGATACAATTTGTTAAACAGTTGGTTACATCAATTGATTGACTTTTCCGTGTTTGTACTATCATTTGTTTAGTGCATTTTTTGTTCTTTCTTAAGTGTAAACTTTAGAAAGAACAAAAAAAAAAGGATGATAAAGTGATTGAAATGAAGTGTGATAAGGTTTGATGGTATGATAAATAACACTTAAAATTTTTTAAACTCTTAGGAAAAAAAAAATTGACTTAGCTTTTGAAAATTTTTCTATTATAATCATTGAAAGAAAGAGCTCTTCTTCTCTACTCATCCAATAGTTTTGGTGTGATTGTATATTTGTTCAATGTTACTACGCTTAATATTAAGTTGTGTTAGCATTGATAATGATATCAAAATCAGTTTATCAATGTTTAAGATTTTGATATGATAAATGATAATATTTTGCACTCAAATTTATTTGATAAGAAAATACTTTAATTATTTGATTATTGAAATTAATTAGATTCGAACCAATAATGACACACACACACATACGCAAGGAATTTTTAAACATAAATTTTATCTATTGAAACTAATAATTCAATTGAATTTTCAGTTCAAATGACAGATAAGTGTTCATCCTGAATTGTCGGTTCCTGTTTTTAGTTCATCGTTTTGAGAACATACGCACATAATTTTCCGGAAAAAATTCCGGAAAACTATGTGCGGAATCATTTAGTAAAATTCAGTATGTGTTGGTCATCAAACGAAATAGATACTTTGTTTTGTATGTTATATTCAACTCTTTCTCTTCCTCCCTTTTCGTTCCCTTCACTCTCTCTCTCGCTGTTGTAGTTCTGATGAAATTGATGTCACCAACTTGTCATTTTTAGAATCACAGTTTAAATTTTAGTCCTTAGATATGACACAAACTATGACTAAAAAGGGTGATGAAAAACATTAATAATAATGTTTTATGAAGTTGTTTACATTTTGAGTACTTTGTCATAAAAAGTAAAGGTAAACAATTAATTTGTCCCTTTTCACATTGATCATTTCAATCAATTCTAATGCAACCAATTTCTTTCCCAACAATTTAAAAAGAAATAAAAAATTGTTTTTCAGCAAAATTTATATTAAACAAATAAGATATTACTCATTAAATATATCGATGATACTTTTACTCTTTAAGCAATTCTAATACATTCTTTTCTCTTTTTTTTTTTTTTTTTTTTGGAAAAAAAAAGTTGAATTTTTTTTTTTTTTTGTTATTTTTAAATATAAAATGAAAGAATTTTGCAACTATTTCTTTTGCTATTTGTTTGTTACAAATGCAATGAATGATTGAAAAGTTGTTGCAATTTATGAAATTTAATAGTAACTTATGATTCAAATGAAAAAAATGGAAAAAAAAATGAAACAAAGATAATAATTGAAAAAAATTCATAAATCCTTTACTATTTTTTTTTTTTTATAGAACTTATTTTGACCATTTATGTCTTTTAAATTTGTTCATTTTCCAATATTATTATTAATACATTGAATTTAATATATTAAATTTTATCTTGTTTCATTTTTTTTTTTTACTAATATTATTATTAATATATAAATTTTAAATAAATTTTAACTTTTGTATATTAAATTTTATTTTCTTTTTTTCTTGTTTTTTTTTTTGCTGTTTTTCGTACAAAAGTTAAAATTTATTTCAAATTTATAATTATCTGATTATAATCGTTAACGATTTTTGTTTAATTTTATGATGAATAATAGAAATGTAACAGAAATATTAAATTAGATGATGATCGAATCACTAATTTCAATGATTCGGTATTTGTCACCGAAAGAGGATGATGATGCGACCGATCGATTGCATTACCTTTACAGTAGTAATATACTACTTGCATTTGCTGTTTTAATAAGTTTCAAACAATTTGGTGGTCGACCACTGGAATGCATGTTTCCTAACAAATTTCCTGGATCATGGGAACAAGTTGCTTTTTTTTCTTTTTTCTTTTTGAAATTTAAACAAAAAAAAAAAAAACAAAAATGCATTTTAAAAAAATTTTTCAAATTTTACTTATTTTAATAAAAAAAGAAGCAAACTTGAATAAAAAAAAAAGAAATTATAAATTAAAATTAAAAATTATTTTATAAAATGAATCAAATTTAAATGAATTAAAAGTTTTTTTTTTTTCTTCTGTCAGTGCAGTACATTTTCTAATCATTTAATTTTTGTTAAATTTTGTTGATTTTAGCATGAATTCATAATTTGCTAAATTTTTAAATTCAATTTTTTAAAATTAATTCTATTTATTAAATCAATAGTTAGTATGCTGAAAATTAGTGTTTGCCATGTGATACGTATTACGTGCAACCCAGTCAATAATTAATTAATCAATTATTCAAAATGAATTTGCTAAATTTGTTAATGCTAAAGTTTTAAAATGACTTTTATAAAATTAATTCTAATTCCTATATTAATTTATTGTTTAGTATGCAGAAAATTACTGCTGGTCACGTGATACATATTACGTGCAACCGGATGTTCACGTAGCAACAATAAAACAGGAAGAAAGATATATACCGGAAAGACAGCTATCATACTATAAATGGGTACCATTTTTTTTACTTCTACAAGCTGCATGTTTCCGAATGCCAAGTATATTCTGGAATTATTTATCATTTAGCTCAGGTAAATAAATATTAATTTGTTTTTTGTTTTTTGTTTTTGTTTTTTGTTTGCACAATTTAAATGTATTTTATAAATTAGTAAAATTTTTTTTTTCTCTTTTAGCTAATATAACATTTTGCACTTTTTTATTTTACTTTTAGGAATACGAATTCATGAAATAGTGGAAAAAGCAATGGATCCATCAAATCTTGATGAAAATATTAGAAGTCGAAATATTGAAACTTTAACACGTCATATGCAAAATGCTTTAAAATTTCATCGACGAATATTAAAGTTCTGCTAATATTTGTTTAACATTTTCAACATTTTTGTTTGTTTTAACTTTAATTAATTACATTTTAATAAATTTTTATTATTTAAATGAAAATAATTAATTATTTGCAGGCGTAAAATTGAAGTTCATAAACGATTAAAATTTTTAAATGTTCGTTATACGGCATTTTTTATATCATTAATGTATTTGGTTACTAAAACAT